TCCAGCTATGTGACTCTAGGCAAATTATTTAAATTTTGTGCCTCCATTTTCTCATTTGTAAAACGGTGATATCAATAACCACCTCCTCATAGAATTGTTGTGAAGCGGAAATGTCTTAATAGGGCTTAGAACAGAGCCTCAGGTAACCTAAGCACTCAATAAGTGTCAGCAATTACTATCACTAGCTGCATGACCTTGGGGGACTCCCCTAACCTCTGTGAGACTCCGTTTCGTCTTCTGTACAAAAAGGGATCACGTGGTCTTTATGAAGACCAAATAAACTCAGACAACATACGCAGCCATCATTTTAAAAACACAGTCAAGTATTAGACCACGTCTTCAACCAACTAGAATTCATTCCTTTCTAGTCTGTGCTTCTGTGATACTTAACACACACACACACATACGTGTGTCACACACACACACCTACACACACACCTGCTGTAGCACTTGTCACATCGTATCATAAGAATTTGCTTACCTGTCCCTCTCCCCCCCTAACAGGGCATCCTCTGATTCACCTCTGCACCCTCAGCACGTTGGATGTACCTGAGTACAGGACAGGTACTCAATACATATTTGTTTAAATGAATATTGTCCAAATGACTGGGCAGGGATTCTCAAGGCCATTGCCAAGAATGGTGTATTATCCCTTTCTGCTAAGTGTCCTCAGTAAGACCACCCAGGCATGTGCTTGTTTTTCCTCAGGCACAATATATTGAGATGCTGTCATTTCAAATGCCGCGTGTGTGGTTGCATCCACACTTAGTAAATGATTTCTTTTCACTTAGTAAATAATTATTGAGCATGTATTGTGTGCCGGGGCCTATGCTGGGCTCCATATAATGTCCCACAAATGGCAAATGCTCAGGCTAATTTAATTCCTGCGTACTATATTGGAAGAACCTATTTTCTATAGAATCGTTTTCAGCTGGAGATAAGGTGCTCCTTGGTTTGATTACTTCGTTAGAGTGACACACTCTCAGGGTGGGAACAAAATGGTTTTCTAAGAGTGGGAACCCTTATGGAATCATAATTAAGGTCAGGGATCTGACAGCCTAAGTTCAAATCCTTG